CCACTCCCGGCGCCTTGCCATCGTGGAGGCTGCCAACCACCTTGGTGACCTCAGCCAGGGAGATGGAAGTATCCGCCCCAACATCCTCAGCCTCTGCCTACGGGACGGAGGACGTGACGGGGGGATTGAGGAGATTCCTTCCACGGACCGACAATATCCCCAGTCGAGGTCAGCAGCTCTCCACCCGCACCATACATGGTGTTGGCTCAGAGAGTGTTCCCTCTCCTGAGGCGCCGGATTGTTTGCCAGAACCTCTTCGAGGCCGACCGATAGTCATGCTCCATGGACTCTCCGAACTCCTCCCAGTCCCGGATTTTTGCCTCTGCAACAGCCCGGGCCGCGGCACGCTTGGCCTGCCCGTGCTGGACAGCTGCCTCAGGAGTCCCCCGAACCATCATGGCTCGATAGGACTCCTTCTACAGTCTGACGGCATCCCTTACTGCCGGTGTCCACCACCGGGTTCTGCTGCCGTCGGGATCAGCACCAGAGAACTTGCGACCACAGCTACGAGCCGCCGCATTGGCGATAGAGAAGGAGAACATGGTCCACTCAGACTTGATGTCCCCCTCCTCCGCCAGGACCTGGGAGAAGCTCTCCCGGAGGTTTGAGTTGAAAGTCCGTCTGACAGGGGGCTCAGCGAGACGTTCCCAGCAGACCCTCACTACACGCTTGGGTCTTGCCAGGTCTGACCGGCTTCCTCCCCTGCAGCGGATCCAACTCACGACCAGGTGGTGATCGGTTGACAGCTCCGCCCCTATTTAGCTCTGCCCCTCTCTTTAGCTCCTCCCTCTCTTCACCCGAGTGTTCGAGAAACGCGGTCGAAGGTCAGATGATACGACAACAACGTTGATCATCGACCTCCGGCCTCAGGTCCTGGCGCCCCCTGGTGGACACCCTTGTGCTGGAACATGGTGTTGGGGATGGACAAACTGTGACTAGCACAGAAGTCCAACAACTGAACACCGCTCGGGTTCAGATCAGGGCCGTTCTTCCCATTCACCCCTCTCCAAGTGTCACTTGCGTCCCCCACATGGGCGTTGAAGTACCCCAGGAGAATAACAGAGTCCCCGGGCGGTGCACTGTCCAGTACCCCTCCCAAGGACTCCAAGAAGGCCGAGTACTCTGCACTGCTGTTAGGCCCGTAGGCACAACAACAGTGAGAGACTTGTCCCCCACCCGGAGGCGGAGGGACGCAACCCTTTCCTTCACCGGGGAGAACTCTAACACGTGGAGCTGAGATGGGGGGCAATGAGTATGGCCACCCCCGCTCGCCGCCTCTCCCCGCGAGAAACACCAGAAAAGTGGAGAGTCCAACCCTCTCAAGGAGAGGAGAGCCCAAGCTGTGTGTGGAGGTTAGGCCGACTCTCTCAGTGGGTATCTCTAACTGGGATTAAGGCCCAGTTTAGACAGAGGCGCTGCTAAGTTATTAACAGAAACGACCAGGCTCCTAATACAAATTTTTAGAGTTCACACAAGGATCAAAAACGATGTAGTTCTAGCGCCCGGCCAGTAGGGGGCAGAGAAACTTTACAACACACACACGCGACCCCCAGCCCCCCCGGTAGTATACTCACTTCCTCTGCAAGACGTGAAAGAACCAACATCATTCTGCATTTTAACAGCAGCTGTGAAAATGGAAACTGAACCTAGAGCTTCCCGTGGTCTCGTTTAGACGAACGAAGCAGTAGAACTATCGTCCGTGTAGCGCTTAAGCACACGAAGCTAGTTGGTGCAACTGCAGCCATTGTTGTTTACGTTTGTTCTACTGCGCATGTCCAAATGTACGTGCGGGGAGCAGCAGGGAGGTGGGGGTCAGATCAGACAGGAATTTCACACCTTTTTCCCTCACGCGGGTGTGAAAGAGCGCCCCCTGCTGTGCAGCGTTTCGGTAGCAACTGACACCAACCATAGTGTTTTACTGCCACATTGTCTCCGTGTGAACGGCCCCTTACATGTTGTAACACTCAGCCCCTCGGAGCGCGCACTACAAAATACATCGAGGTAACTGTGACGCTTTATACCCGCTGTGATTGACCTAACGCTGACCAAAGAAAAACAACCACTCATTAATCTGCTGTGTGTAACGTGTACTCCATTTACTCAGTACTCAGTCCAAAACAAGCAATAATCATAAACAATATAAAATACTTAGTCCTACCCGCGCCCACCATATGCCCCACTGTCAAACCTGGTGACGAGTACGTGGCTCCGGTGATAGTCAGTGTAGTTCAAAAGGCAAATCCAAGAGTTGACAAAACGATGTAGGTAATCCAAACAGAACGGGAAAGTAATCCAACTGGGAAAGTAATCCAAACGTTCAGAGTGTGGGCAGAGCGCAGTGGGTGAGTGCGCTCTCCCTCTCCAGCGTATAAAGTTCATAAACAAAAACGCGCACAGGCCGTGCGTGAGCGGCAACCGGGCTCTCCTGCCGGGTCCGTCCCGAGGGTCTGTACAGTCCGCTACAATAATCCCCTCACAGATCTCCGACTCAAGTCTCTCGTGGTCTCCTCGAGCCGTGTCCAAAACCAAAAGCTCCCTCGTCTCTCTCCCGCGCACCTGATGGCAGGTCTCTGATGAGCGCTCCCTCCCGGGACACGCCCCCCCCAGTTCATTCACAAAACAGACCTGTCCCATTAGGCCCAAAACATAAACAAATATACCTAAACACACATTAACACATTTTAAACATTTGTGGCTATGCTACAGAGTTCCCCCCTCCAGCCAGAGGCTACTAGTTGACCATATAACACATTTTAAGATTCACCACATTGACCACGTCCTGCTTATTGGGCAACTCCTCCCATTTGACCAGATAGTTCACAGGCCCCAACTTCCTGACTATGGAGGCTGGCCCGTCCCATCTCGGAGCTAACTTGGCAGAGAACTTCTCACTAGCCTTGGAGAGTGGATGCGCCCGAACCCAGACTTTGTCACCTGCCTCAAACTGCACCTCTTTCCTTCGAGAGTTGTAGAATTTAGCCTGGCGAACCTGGTGTACCCCCATCCTTTTCCTTACCTCTTCCCCTAGTTTTTGTTGTCGCTCAACCGCATCATAAGAGTCTTTTTGCTCAGGGCTGGGTGGTTTGTGAATGAGTCTTTGTAACGGACCATGAAGCCGCCGTCCCAGAGCCAGCTCTGCCGGAGTCCTGCCAGTAGTTTCTTGCTGAGCAGTGTTGATAGCGAAACGAATCTCTGGTAGCCACTGGTCCCACATCTCATGGGAGGGCCCTACGAAGGATGCGATCATGGTTTTGATGGTCCGATTGAACCGTTCAGTGAGGTTAGTTTGAGGGTGGTAACTGGTGGTGAGTTTCTGTATCACCCCCCATGCTTTGCAGAGGTCAGTCAAGAGGCCAGCAGTAAATTGTGGACCTCGGTCCGAGACGAGAAATTTGGGAACCCCCCAACGAGTGAAGATCTCCTCTCGCAGGATCTTAATGATACGGGGAGTTTTGCTATCCCGTAGTGGGAATACCTCCACCCATTTTGAATAGTAATCCACCACCACCACCAGGTAACTGTTTCCCTTTTTGCTTCGGGGAAATGGGCCCATCAGGTCGATGCCCAGCATCTCTCCTGGAGCAGTGACCTGTGTGGACTGGAGATATCCATGCGGTTTGGTGTTCTCTGGTTTATAACGCTGGCAGCTCTCACAGGACTTTGTGTGTTCCCATACATCTTTGCGTACAGTAGGCCACCAGGCAACCTCCAACACCCTCAGTAGGGTCTTCAGCCGTCCTAGATGCCCACCTAGAGGGTTATCATGGAAATACTGGAGGAACTCTGGGGCTAGGACTTGAGGGACGACAAGCTGGTACTTTTCTCCACCGTCTATTGGAACCTGGCGATAGATCACACCTTGGTGGTTAACAAAAGTGATCCGGTTGGGTTTGGCCTGTCCTGCTTTATTGAGTGTCAGGTCATGGATAAACGGGTCTTGTGTCTGTGCTTTGGCAATCTCGTCTAAGGTGGTTGGCAGGTTTTTGCTGTGTTTCCATCCAGCGAGTGCTAAACAGTGAGTGTTCTGGGATTGTTTCTCACAGGATCGTGACAGTGCGTCTGGTGCAGTGTTGAGGCACCCTTTGCGATAGTGCACTCTGAAGGTGAACTGTTGCAATCGCAGGATCCAGCGTGTCAGACGGGAAGAAGTTTTTGGGCAATTGAAAGCCCAGGCCAGAGCAGCATGGTCAGTGAAGACATCGAAATGGATGCCCTCCAGATAGTGCCTCCACTTCTCTATGGCCCATACCACTGCCAGGCACTCCTTCTCTGATGTAGAATAGTTATTTTCAGGGCCTCGAAGCATCCGTGAAGCATAGGCTACCACCCTCTCTCCCTCAGGAAAGGGCTGTGAGAGTATGGCTCCCAGCCCAGCCTCACTGGCATCCGTGTGAACTTGGAATGGCGGATTTTGGTTCGGTTGTGCCAGAACAGGTGGGTTGTTGAGAGCCTGCTTGAGGGCCGTGAAACTGGCTTGGCATTCAGAAGTCCATTTCCATTCCACCCCCTTCTTCTTGAGATGGTTCAATGGGGCGGCCATGTCCGCGAAGCCCAGAATGAATTTGTGGTACCAGCCCGCGAGCCCCAGAAAACGCTGCAGTTCTTTAATGTCCTGTGGCACGGGGAACTCTCTTTCTCCAGCGTATAAAGTTCATAAACAAAAACGCGCACAGGCCGTGCGTGAGCGGCAACCGGGCTCTCCTGCCGGGTCCGTCCCGAGGGTCTGTACAGTCCGCTACAATAATCCCCTCACAGATCTCCGACTCAAGTCTCTCGTGGTCTCCTCGAGCCGTGTCCAAAACCAAAAGCTCCCTCGTCTCTCTCCCGCGCACCTGATGGCAGGTCTCTGATGAGCGCTCCCTCCCGGGACACGCCCCCCCCAGTTCATTCACAAAACAGACCTGTCCCATTAGGCCCAAAACATAAACAAATATACCTAAACACACATTAACACATTTTAAACATTTGTGGCTATGCTACAATGTCTTCCTTAATCCCAGGTTCTCCGTCAGACTTGGGCCGAAGAGCGGAACTATCGGGGGAAGCCCATCCGCCGGGTCTTCATCTCAGGGACCAGATTGAGCGGCTAGGAGAGGAGGCACCTGGACCAGCTCCTGCAGGAGGAGGGGAGGACCTACGGGGACCTCCTGCAGTGGGACTTCACCGACTCCTTCTACAACCTGACACTGAAGCAGCTGCTGTTCCTGGACTGGTTCCAGACCCGGTGTCGCCGCTGCCACTTCCTGATGAATGGGGAGACGACGACATCTTCGCCAACACCGACCAACACGGTGGAGTTTCTGCTCAGTCGCCACGGCAACGACGGAGACCAGCCCCTGTTCTAGGGGGAGTCCGATGGTTCTGTATGACCCAGAGCTGGCTAGGCTCTCTCTGGTCTTTTTCTGGTCTCTCTCTAGTCTCTCTCTGTCTCTCTGTACGCTCTCTCTCTGACCTCCTATCACCTCCTCTTTGTAGGGAGCGTGCTCTTCCAGGCGGCTCCGGTCCGAGACATCAACAGCAAGTTTACTGAGAAACTGTGTCTGAAAATGGGGGAGTGACCATGTGGTCTCCCTCTGGTCTCTCGTTCTCTCTCTGGCTTCTGTCTCTGGTCTCTCTCTCTCTGGCTTCTGTCTCTGGTCTCTCGTTCTCTCTCTGGCTTCTGTCTCTGGTCTCTCTCTCTCTCTCTCTCTCTGGCTTCTGCCTCTGGTCTCTCTCTCTCTCAGCTTTAAAACATACGACTGCTCCTTTAAGGCTTTCACTTATTGGGGGTTATTTTAGAACACATCGTCCCTGTGTTAAGAACCTCTGTACTGTTTAACACTTGAAGTATGTTTCTGATCTGGGACTGTCCTGCTGGTGCCGAGCCAGGCCTCCGGATCAGTCTTCCTTAAAATGTGAAACAGGCCTTTTGTCCCAGTTCTTGACTCCAGGTTAAAAACTGAATGTGTCTTTTTACTGTCTTGTGTGATTGTATGAACTGAGCCATACCAATAAACTGGTATTAGTACCGCCCAATACTAAAACACCACAATATGTTAAGACTGTATATACAGTGTTTTGCGAAAGTATTCAGCCCCCTTGAACCTTTCAACATTTCGCCACATTTCAGGCTTCAAACATAAAGATATAAAATTTTATTTTTTTGTCATGAATCAACAACAAGTGGGACACAATCGTGAAGTGGAACAAAATGTATTGGATAATTTAAACTTTTTTAACAAATAAAAAACTGAAAAGTGGGCCGTGCAATATTATTTGGCCCCTTTACTTTCAGTGCAGCAAACTCAGTCCAGAAGTTCAGTGAGGATCTTTGAATGATCCAATGTTGTCCTAAATGACTGATGATGATAAATAGAATGCACCTGTGTGTAATCAAGTCTCCGTATAAATGCACCTGCTCTTTGATAGTCTCAGGGTTCTGTTTAAAGCGCAGAGAGAACCATGAAGACAAAGGAACACACCAGGCAGGTCCGAGATACTGTTGTGGACAAGTTTAAAGCCGGATTTGGATACAAAAAGATTTCCCAAGCTTTAAACATCTCAAGGAGCACTGTGCAAGCAATTATATTGAAATGGAAGGAGTATCAGACCACTGCAAATCTACCAAGACCCGGCCATCCCTCCAAACTTTCATCTCGAACAAGGAGAAGACTGATCAGAGATGCAGTCAGTTTGTGAACAGCAGACTGCTGTTCACAAACGCTCTCCATCCAACCTCACTGAGCTCGAGCTGTTTTGCAAGGAAGAATGGGCAAGAATTCCAGTCTCTCGATGTGCAAAACTGATAGAGACATACCCCAAGCGACTTGCAGCTGTAATTGCAGCAAAAGGTAGCGCTACAAAGTATTAGCACAAGGGGGCCGAATAATATTGCACGCCCCACTTTTCAGTTTATTTGTTAAAAGTTTAAATTATCCAATAAATTTCGTTCCACTTCACGATTGTGTCCCACTTGTTTTTGATTCTTGACAAAAAAAATAAATGTTTATATCTTTATGTTTGAAGCCTGAAATGTGGCAAAATGTTGAAAGGTTCAAGGGCGCCGAATACTTTCGCAAGGCACTGTAGATCCATGATATAGATGGACAATGCTAACCTGCTAGCTAGGACCAGGTGGAAGAGTTCTGGTCCAAAAGAAAAACACATGGTACTCCTTGGTTCACAACTTTATTCGGGAATGACAACAGTGTCAAATTAAGATTCAGAGTTTAGCGCCGTTTCCATCGAACCCTACTCTACTGCTCTGGTCCGGCTTAACCAGTACCAGGTCCTTCTTTAGTCCCTCTTGGTCCTGGTTCTATCCAGGCCGAGCTGGTACTTAAGTGTTCTAACTGACAGTGACTGGACACAGTGCTGCTGAGGAGAGGGAGAGAGAGAGATGCGAAAGAGAGAAAGAGGGCTAGTACTACCGCTCTAACAGACAGTGATTGGCCAGAGTGCTGCAGGAAGCCAAGGTTACCAAGGAATTTCCACAGATACTGGTTTGTTGTGGGTCGGTTGCTAGGATACGGTAGCAGAGAATGAAGAGCAGAGCAGAGTTGGTGGAAACGGGGCTTCTGTACGGAAGATCATGATTCCTGGTCGTCTTATTGTCCGGTTCCGTCTTCACTTCCTGCTTGTAACTGGTCTTTGTGACATCACAGGTGAAAACGAAAGACTCGATAAAATAGTTTATAATAATGTCTATAATCGACAAAACACATTCACACAAACAGGAAAAACAGTGACGTTACATAAGAGACATAGTGGAGAGACTACGGCTGCGTCCCAATTCAACACAAACTCCTCCTTCCTTAATCTTTGACGTTTTGAGAGATTTAAAAATGTACCTTTTCTGACACGGGGCAGCTCCAGCTTTGGTCATGTGACAAACACAACCATAAAGATGTTTTTGAAGACGCAAATGTTGTTAAAAATGAGAAGGAAAGACTGGAAAGGAGGCATGTGTTATGAATTCAGATGCAGCTAACCCCATTGCAGAGATACAGACATAGGAGTGTATGGAATTGCATTGTAACAGTGGCCTCTGGTGGTCGATCCGTGTAACTGCAGCACTTTACCACACTGGTCACGTGCATCTGAAAGCCTTTGGAGCATAAAGGACTGAAAATAAGTGACAAAAATCTATTCCCTTACAAACGTGCATTTCAGAACGTGCACACACACCATCAAGACTCAAACGACTTTAATTCAGGATCAGGATTCATTCATTTTCTGATATGACCCGGAATATTCCACTGGTTTGAAGAGGATTGATCTGAACAGTGTGGGAAACTACAGAGATACATCCTAATATCTTGAATTAAAGTAGTTTTAAATCTCAATAGTTCGGTTTAACATGTGGTTTGTTCTGAAATGAGCTTAAGATTCTCCCTTTCACATGGTGCCGAGACAAGATCTCTGGTGTGTACTATGTGGGCCTCTTGCACCGATAGTCCAATGTGGTTTTACTGCAAATGGACAATAAACATTATCTGAATCTGAGAAAAGAGAGACCAAACAGAGACGAGAGAGACACCAGAGAGAGAGCCTAGAGATACAGACCAATAAGGGAGACCAGAGAGAGACCAGAGAGAGACCAGAGAGAGACAAGAGAGAGACAAGAGAGAGACCAGAGAAAGACCAGAGAGAGACCAGAGAGAGAGACTAGAAAGGCATCCTTTTGGCACACAGTCACTCTAAAACTCTCTGACATCCTGAGTCCCACTCCCCCCATCTCTGTGTCTATTGAGCGCCACCTCTACCAGCCCCATACCTACCAGATACACAAAATGCCTTCTGACATCTCTAGCTATCGCCAAGAAGATAATCTTACTAAACTGGAAAACCAAAAACTCAATAAGTATCAACCACTGGATCAACTCCCTCACCCATCACATCACCACACATCACCCATCATCTCAGGATGATAACGTACTGTCCTTCACGGAAACTTGGTCACCCTTCATCAAATACCTCAATATCACCGTATACTAATCACTAGCGTTTGGAAGTCCCCCCACTATCCACGGACGCACACGCACACACACACACACACACATACACACGAGAACCCTAACACCATTAGTATTATGCTGCTAACCCTGTCACCACAGTAACCAAAGATCTTTTTTTACCAAACTGGAAAAATTATAAAAACCAACAACAGACTCACACCTACTAGATCAGGCCATTCAGGAGGGGAGGCATGCGCTCTAGGGGTGATTCCCCTGGAGCGCAGACCTCCCACAGAACCCTGGATTTTTAATGCATAACATAAGCCACGCTCAACACACACAACATACACAAGGAACAAGACTAAACAAGGAAGTGGCCCTGCTATTGCTGGAGCAGACCCCAACAGTGACAGGACTAAAAAAAAAAAAATACCTTGCATGTTTTTAATGCACTAGACACGCACTAAAAAATAACAAAAATAAATAAATGAAAAAATACAAATAATAATACAAAATAAGCAAATAAATATGTGGTCACATAAACACAGCCAAAATACGTCACTGGGATCTGTGGAGACAGCAGGTGGCAGCACTCATTATTTTAGTTTTATTTACTGTTATTGTTCTGTTTTCTATTTCTTCTTCAGACATATATGGTCACACATTTATACATATACACAAACACTCAAACACATTAACACCTACATTAACACCCACACTTACACATTAGCACCTACATATTTCCACGACAGTACTTGCTTGTTATTTTATTTTTATTAAGTATTTTGTTTTCTTTGTTTCATGTTCTGGATTCCTTAAAAATGCTGCCTTAAAAATGCTTTAAAACAGTCATAATGACTGCTGAAGTGTCACACCTTTAAAACAGTCATAATGACTGCTGAAGTGTCACATCTTTAAAACAGTCATAATGACTGCTGAAGTGTCACATCTTTAAAACAGTCATAATGACTGCTGAAGTGTCACATCTTTAAAACAGTCATAATGACTGCTGAAGTGTCATACCTTTAAAACAGTCATAATGACTGCTGAAGTGTCACACCTTTAAAACAGTCATAATGACTGCTGAAGTGTCAACCTTTAAAACAGTCATAATGACTGCTGAAGTGTCACACCTTTAAAACAGTCATAATGACTGCTGAAGTGTCATACCTTTAAAACAGTCATAATGACTGCTGAAGTGTCACACCTTTAAAACAGTCATAATGACTGCTGAAGTGTCACACCTTTAAAACAGTCATAATGACTGCTGAAGTGTCACACCTTTAAAACAGTCATAATGACTGCGAAGTGTCACACCTTTAAAACAGTCATAATGACTGCTGAAGTGTCACACCTTTAAAACAGTCATAATGACTGCTGAAGTGTCACACTACCTTTAAAACAGTCAT